CGAGTCTCCAAAGAGTTGGAAAAGGAAAAGGCGAGAAGACAACGAGAAATCGTTCAAGTGGGACCGCTCAAGTCATGACAACAAGATTCTATAAATGCAGCATGCAATCTATTCGTACACGTGTACCCAAGAAAATAACCCGAGACATGAATAGACAAAAAAAAAACCAGACAAAAAGCCCTATGTATAGTCTTGTATGTTATACACAAATGATAAAATGTTCGAGTTGGATTTAGCCCTCTAAACCCGACATGTCGTTAGAATTGTGGTGGAGATTTGAATAGTAACTACCTTTGCACCACGCCTCAGGCGAGTTATCATGTCCGCAGCAGCACCCTTTGTGATATTTTTTAAATCCCGGCGGTTGTGAATCCGACACCATGCCCGCATATGTTCCTTTTCGGGAGCCATCTCTTCCGACTTGGCCTCGAGGCTGATTCCGAGACTTTTGGCAATGATGGCATGCTGCGCGGGTGTGGAAGGGGCACGACGCCACCGGGCATTCCGCATTAACCTATTAAGCATATTAGACTATAACAGACCAGGGTCTAATTCATACCCTAAAACCAGGTTGCCGGGCGCCAATTTTTGCTTTGCAAAACTGTCAGCTGCGGCTACCGCGTCGGCTAGCGTTGCTGAGAGTGCAATGCGACGACTTCGGCCAGCAAAGGGGATAGGTTTTCCTAGGATCAGCTTCATGGTTTGAATGTCCCACGGTGATGAATACACCACTTCCCAGTTCTGGGTTCCATCTGTGCTGGATTAGCGGTTGACCCGAAAACGTTGGGCTACTTACCGTTGCTTACAAGAGGTTCAAGTCGAAGGCTGCCTTTACCCATGCATTCGAGAATATAGGATCCACGAGATGCCACCCACGCAAAGGGACTAAGGGTGTTGATATGCCTCTCCTTCGAGTTCTGGAACTGCCAAGAGAAGGGGTCATCATAATCCTCATACGTCACGCTGTCAATATCAGGGTTCGATATGGTTATCCCAAGTCCTTTATTCTGTTTAGTGGCGTCCTCCTTCTTCTTTTCCAAGAGTTCGTCCAGTGTAGAACCTGAGGGCGATTAGTTATGTAAATAAAATGCTTTTCGACTTGCCTGGCAGAATTTCACTCGGATCAAGTCCAAATAATGTCGGTGTAGAGAACATGCCCGCTACACGCCCTTGAGAGTCGACGAAATCTAGTATATGGCAGTCCTCCTTTCCCGTCTGCGCAGAGAGCCTCATTCCTCGGCCAATCTATAGTAGGTGAGACAAGTGGAATGGATCGATGATTTTACACACCATTTGGGCAAATATATTGCGAGAACGAGTCGGGCGAGCGAGAACTACACAGTCGACGTTTGGAATATCCGTCCCTTCTGTAAGGATAGAACAGTTCACCAGAACCGGATATAAACCCGCTTTAAAATCGCTGATCAACTTTTGTCGTTCGATGGAATGGGTCTTTGAATGTAGATAGCGAGCATCAACCCCTCGCCGACGAAACTCGTTAGTCAAATCATGAACATGAGCAAGACTTGCGCAAAATACGAGGGTTGTCTTCCGATTCCCTAAATATTATAAGTCGATGATATCGTAACCCTGGTTTACTCACCAGCTTTCTCAAGCCAACTTTGTACCACGAGAGAGTTGATGGCCTCTGTATTCATGACTTGGGCAAGACTTGATGGAACGAAATCACCAGACTTTTGGCTGATGGCAACTTCAGGCCGTCGACCAGATAAGACGCATGTTTCCGCATACTACAGTTGAGATTGAACAGGGAAAAAGGACGGCTTCCGGGCTGGCAGATGTGTAGGTTTTTTGAACATTGTTGTATCCTATACTGACTCTTAGTAGCACAGTAGCTACTTTTCAGACGCTTGCACGTGGAAACAGACTGGATAAATTTTTGCCTGAGCGCACAAAAGCTATTATTGTCGACGAAGCGCACCATGCTGCTGCCAAATCGTGAGTTATTCCTGCCAATCGAGACGGCTACTGACACGAGCTCTAGATATTTAT